TGGCGACCAGCCGAGACACAGGCGAGTCCGACCCAGCTGGTGGAGACTTCCCTCCCTCCCCCGGCACCAGCACAGCCAGGGAGCCACGGCCAGGAATTGCCTGCTGAGCGGAGCAACCAGGGATGGTGCTGGCTCTTCTCTGGCAAAGGTGCCGTTACCGAAGGCGACGGACCAGCTGCCTGCTTCTGCGCAGGGGGCGAAGCCAAGGTGAAGGCCTGCTCAGCCAGAGCTCCTCCAGGCAGCTGGCATTATCGTGCCTCTGTGAGGCGAGCCCTGCCGGCGTGCCAAGGATCAGACCTCAGGCAGGGGTCGTGTCGTGCTACTTCACTTATTTCTTAGATTATAAAATGTTTTACTTTAGCGGTGTATCAGGTAGCAGGTGGGAATCCTCACCTGCGAGGAGCAGAACAAATCCACGTCGGAGCATCGCTGGGTGCTCTCGCAGCAACGGACTGCAGATAAAGATTCGGGGAGGCTGCAGGGGTTGTGTCGCCCGCTGTACACAAATACCGACTGCGAGGTGAACCCCATGACGGGATGTGCAAGCTGGGAAAGGACAGGAGAAGCGTGGACAAAATAGCTGGCGGTCTCCGTGAAGAACGTTAAGGCCAGGGCGGACACGCGTGGCTGACCCAGCTTACCTAGCCGTCTGCAGAGCCGCCAGTCCAGCAACATCAGCACTGGTGTCCTCACACCACCGATTCTGACAACCTGTTTTCTACTGCTGAGCCCATGTTTCGAACCGTAGATAAAACAAGATCAGTCTGGCCACAGGGCATTTGGGTTCCTTTCTTTTTGAGCAACCTCAGCTCAAAAATGTCACGGAATGACTCGGGAAGACACAAGGATAAGGCTTCTGGATTATGGCTTTATGATGCAGCTCCAGCCGCTGAGCTCCAAACGCCACCCCAGCCTTGCGCATCTTACCAGGCACCGTAAAATTGGTCACGAGTTTGCTTTATGAGCGTGAACTTGCTGCACGTGGCTAGTAAATGTAACACTTTCAGATATTTGAGTTAATCATTGAGGTGAGTTGGATAGCAGGAAAAATCTACCTTCCTGGGATGCGGAGTTAGGTGCAAGTGGAAGAGGATCTGTCCTCTTCCGCAGTATTTTGAGTTAAGGTACAAACACAACAGTAATGTCTGAGTAAAAACAGGAGGAGGGAATTATTAGTGGGACAAGCACTGACATAAGAGTGATTGGGGGGAGAACTCATCCAGTGGCACAATGGAACAGCTTCTCCAGAGGAAGGCAGCTCCAGATGCTAAATGAACAGTCAAGACCTTCAGCAGCCCCACAGCATTTATTAAACACTCTGACAAACGCCGGCAGGGGCTCCCAGTGCCCGAACGCTGACCACGTGTGCTTCAGGAGCAAGAAAACCAAGTCCTAAACTGGTATCTTCAGAGCTAGACTATTCCTGTCCTCGGATGCCAGTCCAGCTGGAGTGGTCCGTCCCAGCCGCTCCTTCCCGTCCCTCCCTGCGTGTCGCAGGAGGCTCAGAGCATGCTGACCAGCCTAAAGCTTCCCACTTCTGCGGTAGGAATAACACTGATGAAGGTTTTATAAAGAACTGCTCCTTTGGGTAGACGACAGATCACTTCCCTGCTCTCGCTGCTGCGGGGAGGAGGTACATAGACCTCTTTCGTGTATCTCACGATCCCGTCCTCCAGGGCGTAGAGTGTCTTGTTACGGCCCATCCCCACCTGGAAGAGGATGAGGAACATTAGAAAGGAAAGGGTGGAGGTCCACCACTAAAGCAGATCTGATGGGTTGGTCTAGCCTCGTTTGATACCCTGGCTTCAACAGCATCTGTTGCTTTGTCTTTTAAAATAAAAGAAAACCACACTACTTGCTTCCAGCAATCAGTATGCAACGGTGCTCATTGTAAGGGCGGAGACAGTGATTCCACCCGGAAGCACAAGCACCCAGTTAGGTGACAGAAGCGTTTTGGGATATCCATAACTTTCAGACCTTTCCTCAGTCACATGGGCACAGGTGTGACCCTGAGCAGGGTCTGTGAGTAAGGAATACCAGGTAAGGAGCGCCAATTTCAGGGTTACATAGAATACAGGGAAGAGCATTAAAAACCAGCTTGGGGGAGAGGAGGCACTGAATATGGGACTCTGTTGTGGGCTGCTCTTCTCTGAGAACCAAGGAAGAGAGAAAAAGCAACTTACGTGAGCTCCTGGATGCCAGCGTATCAACCGCTGCGTGGCCAGAATGTTGCCTGCGTGCACAAATGCACCTGCAACAGAGGGAGAGAGTCAGACTGCAGAGAAACGGAGCTCCCTGAAGCCCTGGCAGAACACAAATGGTTCCAGGACTTACAAAACCCAGCTTTCTGTGGGAATTTTCTAAGGAAAAATTACTTCAAATGCTAAAAGCATCTAAACAAAAAATGCTGTTAGAAGGAAATAAAAGGGCAATTGATAAGACTATGGCAAAAAGCAATTCTGGTCTTTGAAAAGATTACTTCGAGGGTACAAAGCGCTTTCTGGTTGCCGAAGGCATTTGTTTTATTACCTTCTACATCAATATGTTTTCATGAGCAAAGCCAATAATTATTAAGCACTCAGGTGCAAGAATCTGTACTTTGGCTTCTGCTAAGCCTCACAATTCTCCCCTTTGTAAACAGCTAAACTGCCCAGCTTTTCAACACAGCATGGGGGGAAAGTGCACTTCAGTTATTAGGTGTCCCACAGCGTACCCTCCTCCCAGGCGCTGCAGAGAGGCAAAGTTAGAATCAAAGTCTGTTTTCCGCAGGCAATTTCGGCTGGCGCGGGGGGGAGCCCGCCTCCCCCTGCCCTTCCATCGGCTACCTTTGATCAGGAGGTTTCGCTGAACCTCCCCTCTCCCTTCTCTTGGAATAGTGCCCTGGCCACCTCCTACTGAAATGGTCAACGACTGACACCTGTACCGGGGAGAAGCTGTGAAGAACCCAATGAAACACAAATTTGGACTCGGCAGATACTACCTACCTTCTACTTTTTTGAATCCATAGCGCTTCCCAGGGCTGCGGCCACCTAAATTTTTTGAGCTGCCCCCAGTTTTCTTAGAAGCACATCTGATGGCAACCAGGCTTGTTTGTGGAGTAGTTAGAACTGTGGTGGGAGCAAGAAAACAATGTCACCTGAGAACAACTAATACACATGCTTTCTTTTCTCAGATTTAAAGGGTATCAGTTGATACTGGCTGAAAAACTAAAGATAAAAGAAAGCTTCGATTGGAAAAAACCTACTTCCAAGATAAACCATAATTATACCACCATGGCCTAAGTCTCCTGCAGAGAGGCCACACGTCAAGTACTGCTGCTGCCCAGGGAGGAGGAAAACTCTCAGCAACGACGTTAAAGGACATGCACAAATTCATGTTTCACCAAGGCCTTGTAAAAGGAGGTACAGGAGTTACTGGTTGCTCTGGATTGCGCTTGTGGTGCTTTGAGAAAAGACAAGTTGTGATCTCAGTTTCAGTTCCCCCTTTGATCGAATGGCATTTACATACGTAGTAATATTTTGTAATCTTACAAATGAGAAGACTCCAATTCAGGACAATCTATAAACATACATAGAACTGCTGTCCAGAACGTACCAAGTAAAGCATTTGTGCAAATATTTGAGTTACAATCAGGACAAGTCAAGGAAAAAAAAAAATCAGTTGTTACAGTCACTAATTGTCTCTGAAACAGAAAATATCATTCACACTTCAAACTTCTTCCTTAAACAAAGACACTGACAGAAAACATACTGGTTTGCTTATCAAGAAAGCTGACCCTCTCATGAACCTCTCTCTGTCAAAATTGATTGAGATATAATTAGTTCTTTTAAAAAATCTCTTCAGTACCTCCTTTCATACAGTTAGCAGGCAAATCCCGTTTTTCTGAATCCCTCTATTTAGCCTCTTAAGCAGCAGGTTAGTGTGGAAGAGTGGTTATCATTAACATTTTTGTTTCCTTAACATGAGTAAAACCACTGGATTAATTTAATCTTAATTAAATTATCATAGATACTCAGTGAGCTAGAAATATTGTTGAGAAAAGGGAAATTGATCTACAAACAACCATTAATTTCAGGAGCTTACTCATTAAGTAAAAGAAAGTCTCTGAGATTTGACAAGCTACAGGGAAGTAGGCAAAGGTGAACGAGAGTTACAGTTTCATATACACAGATTCTCAAAGTTATAGTCCAATTAACTTTTATAAAAAAAAAAACTCCAACAGGTTGATTCCATTTGGTGATGCATGAAAGAAGCTTGCTAACAAAAAAATGAACCTCAAGCATCAGACATGCAGGGAAAAGTGGTTATCTAGAGAAAACTAGAGAATTTGTAACTTGAAGTCATGCTGGAAATCAGTGGGAAAACTTCACAATTCTGATGTCCCACCAAAGAAATCACAAGGATATTTCTGCCTGTAACACTTCTAGATTTAAAAAAGGGATTTTTAAAGCCTCCTGACTATTGCACTGCGCAAGGAGAGAGCAGCACCTCTCACTGTTTGGTCTCTACCTAGTGCACGTGAATAGTTTTTCCAAAGATTATTTTTTCACCATGAGGGCAGTCAAGCAGCAGCACAGAGAGGTTGTGCAGTCCCCATCCCTGGAGATTTTTGAGGTGAGAAGGGATGAAGTTCAACAAGGCCAAGGGCAAGGTCCTGCACCTGGGTCGGGGCAGTCCCAAGCCCAAATCCAGGCTGGGTGGAGAATGGAGTGAGAGCAGCCCTGCCGAGAAGGACTTGGGGGTGCTGGCGGATGAAAAGCTGGACACGATCTGGCAATGTGCGCTGCAGCCCAGCAGGCCAACCGTCTCCTGGGCTGCATCCCCAGCAGCGTGGGCACAGGGCGAGGGAGAGGATTCTGCCCCACTCTGGTGAGAGCCTGGGGGGTGTCCTGCGTCCAGCTCTGGAGCCCTCAGCACAGGACAGACACGGACCTGTTGGAGCGGGGCCGGAGGAGGCCCCAGCAATGATCCGAGGGCTGGAGCACCTCTGCTGTGAGGAAAGGCTGGGAGAGCTGGGGCTGGGCAGCC